ACTTTAAAGATAATCAATCAATCTTTCTTTCATGTTACATCAACACCTTTATATACATCGTTTAATTCTTCAAAGGACATCGTGTTTAGTTTTTTAAGGCTTAATATTTCCATCCCTTTGATAAGCCTCCCCTCAATGACTTTGCGGCAAAAGTTCCGCTATGATTTAAATTTTCTCATAATGCTGCACACTGGCCCTCTACATTTATTTCACATTTAGAGGCAACCTTTGTGTATTGTTGGTAACAGGATTTACCTTGCCTCCATAGCTACATCATATTTACCTCTAAAACAGTAGCCCTTCGTCTTGTTCCATGGTCACAACATTAATATAAGTAATTGCCCCCCTCCCCCCCCCCCGCTCTTTTGTTCACACCTCGTTAACTTCTCCACCTTCCTTTTTCCTGTTCCATATTACCTGAGATATATTGACAACTTTACAAATTATGCAACAGACCGGTAGCACATAAGTTACCGCCCTACAAGAGATGGTGTCCTATCAGTGGAAGAACTGAGACATTTCTTTGGTGTGACACCATAGAGGGTCGTCTTCAACTTCCTGGCAAAATATGATTTAATTTGTCCAGAAAAAATAATGATTTGTATATACGTACTAGAGCTGAGTTAGGTGAAAACTAATAAAATTTCCATATATTAAAAGTATCAATGAAAAGAGTTATAGGGCAATTACCCCCTGGACAATCACCCCCGGCCATTTACCAGCGGGACAATTAGCCACAAGGAAAATTACCCCAAGGAAAAAAACACCTTGGAACAACAACACCCGTGGTCAATGATCCATAAATTTATAGTGTAGAAATATCGCTCTGTGTTTGCGTGTCCATTTGTTTTGCTAAAGCAAGAGTAATAATCGGGGCAGCGCCAGGAGCGTCACAACATGACGGACATGTGCGCTATATAAGAAGCCACTGTTATTATCATTATTAACTATAACATCATAAGGAATTGAAATTACATAGCAATCAAATTGTTTCTGTTACTACTGACCGCACTCATAGACTTTTACTCTTGTGAATACGTGTTTTGTATGTCAACATTTTAGTATGCCATAATTAATTCGCTTTGCGTTTTAAATGTATACCAGGTAAACAGAGCTTTTTTTCGCAAATCCTGTTTATTTCATGAAGTTTTAAGAAGAAGGCTCATTGAAAATTTTAAAAAATAGGTACATTATACCTCTACACATTGCTGAGAACTTATAAAGAAAATGAGCAAAGTACTTTTTAAGACCCCACCAATGTGAGGAATAAATTAAGTGCGATTTTGATTCCCTTTCCAGAACCCACTTATAAAGTGAAATGACGGCGATAAAACAAATGCGAAAATGGTGACGTCACGGTATGAACAACCCTATATTTCGAGACCATGTTGGATGTCCATTTCAATTCTTAGATATGGGTTTAACGCTGTTTGTATATTTACCACCAGTGGCGATATTTCCTTTATTTGTTGCACTTTAAATGAGATACACCTAATAAATAATCCTTTCTACAAATGCCTGTTTGATTTCTACGTATTTCCGTCACATTTAAACATAAAACTTAGAATAATAATCAAATATTTTGAGGCCATGTTAGCATATACGTGTCTGATCTTGGACAGTACTGGGAGTCCGAAGGACATTTTGCCTGCTGACTTAACGACTTTCTGGAGCAAAATAGGCTACAAATTTAAATAAAACTGTCTATATATTTATTATGAAAGAGTCTGTTTAGGCTGATCGGATTAATTTATGATTTTTGATAAATCTAGTTGTAGTACTAAATAAATTGGGTAAGCGTACAGCAAATACCCAATTTGTGTATTCTTTTATCAATATTTGTCTTCAAGCACATTTTTAGTTTCTGGGGGGGGGGGGAGTGGAGAATCTTTTCAGAAGTGTGTCTTAAATGAAATCCTCTTTCACATTATGATACAATTTAAGTGAAATTTTGGCATCAAATCTTTGGCGAATTTTGGACTCCAAACACTTTAGAGGGGCTTTTAGGAGTCAAAACTATGCAGAACACAAAATATAGAATCGTCAATTGTCACTAAAATTGTCCAAATTAAATCAAAGTTAAATAGCCCATGAAAGCTGAAAAATACTTGTATTTTATTACCAATTGGCTTCTGAAAAGAAAACAATGTTCGAAAACGATGGTAGATATATCAAGCAGATTTAAAAAAAATCAAATGTCATTTATGATTAAGGAAACCATCACAAAAACAAACACAAAATTCTTCTGTCCTATTTGGCTTAGCTCTAATTTAAGGCAAAGTCAAATCCCCGATTTTTTGGTATCTGGATTTCGAATATTTGACCGACGTTTGTAATTGTGATATGGTTAAGTTCATCTGAATATTGTGGGAATATCAAAGTTTATTACAGTCATAATTTCAAACACTAAATTTTCTTGCCAAATAACGATGCTTAAAATCATCTTATTTTTAAAAGTTTTTAAACAACATGGTTTATTTTAAAGCTAACGGAAATATTCATGATGAGGAGCGATCGGGATTGATGTTTTAAAGCTTATAAAAAAAGTGCATAGCATTCCACTAGGACTTATCCGTTGGTGAAAATAATTTGGCAATAGATAGACTGACTGACAGACAGACTGACAGACAGAGAGACAAAGAGAGCGCTAGAGAGAGGTATATATATAGAGAGAGAGATATTGAGAAAGAGAGATAAAGAGAGAGAGAGAGATAGAGAGAGATAGAGAATGAGAAAGGGGGATGTATAATTGCAAAGCAGGGCCAAATTAAAAACTCAGGCTGAAACTCTTGCTATGCACTCTACCCCGTGAAATTTAGAAGAATAAGTTTGAAGGATCGATCCCTGGAAGTATAATAGGAGGCAAACCCTGCCATCCCGGTAGCCTGACATATGATATAGACGGCTTATGATACTGACAGCCAAATAAACCAGCATTCCCAAGAGGACGACAATCGTCGGTGTCGCGAACCTTCTGAAAGTTTAATCTTCTAAAAGCCCATGTGGCCCACCATGACTGACACGCCGGTCTCATTGGTCTTCTGACAATTTGATATTCCAAAGGGTTCGACAGACCGTTGGTTGTCGGCCTCGTATGACGTCCGTCTCGTTGACTTTATAATTCCTTGCCATTTTATACATACATTTTTTGTATTACTCTTGTAACATTCTCCCAGACTTGTCATGGTAGCATGGGCGTCAATCCAAATCAGACCGTGGGGGGAGGGGACACAAGTTCAGACAGGGCGGCGCCAGTTTATTTTGTAAGGGGTGCGAATGGGCGCGCCACGCAGGGGGGGGGGTGTCTGAGGGGATGTGCCCCCTCAGAAGTTGATTTTTTTTTTTTAAATTGATGCATAAATGGCTCAATTTGGTGCATACTTTTTGCCAAATTAAAAAGAAAACAGTCTTAAGTTCAACTAACAAGAAACAAGAACGCAGGGGGGGGGGGGGTGTTTGAGCCCCTCTCAGAAGTTGAAGATTTTTTTTTTGAAATTGATGGATAGATGGCTCGTATTGGTGCATACTTTTTGCCAAATTAAAAAGAAAACAGTAGAACGCAGGGGGTGTCTGAGGGGGGTTGGGTGTGCCCCCCTCAGAAGTTGAAGATTTTTGTTTTAATTGATGGATAGATGGCTTGATTTGGGGCATACTTTTTGCCAAATTAAAAAGAAAACAATAGAACGCAGGGGGTGTCTGAACCCCCCTCAGAAGTTGAAGATTTTGTTTTAAATTGATGGAGAGATGGCTCGAATTGGTGCATACTTTTTGCCAAATTAAAAAGAAAACTGTAGAACGCAGGGGGTGTCAGTGGGGGGTGGGGTGTGACCCCTCAGAAGTTGACGATTTTTGTTTAAATTGATGGATAGATGGCTTGATTTGGATCATACTTTTTGCCAAATTAAAAAGAAAACAATAGAACGCAGGGGGTGTCTGAACCCCCCTCAGAAGTTGAAGATTTTGTTTTAAATTGATGGATAGATGGCTCGAATTGGTGCATACTTTTTGCCAAATTAAAAAGAAAACTGTAGAACGCAGGGGGTGTCTGAGGGGCGTGGGGTGTGACCCCTCAGAAGTTGACGATTTTTGTTTAAATTGATGGATAGATGGCTTGATTTTGGGCTTAATTTTTGCCAAATTAAAAAGAAAACAGTCTTAAGTTCAACTAACATGAACAAGAACGCAACGGGGGGGGGGGTGTAGATAGATGAATTTGTCGTTTCCATTATCAGCCATTTAGTTTGGAAGATACAAGGGATAAATTTGATTTTTTTTTTTTTTTTTCAGTTGGTGAAAGGATTTTTATCGTAAACCAATGTTTGAACTTCCGGTAATGTGAATGTAATATTAATGACACTTCTAGTTCTATTAATAAAATCTGATCGCCTGATTTGGCTTGATTTTTCTCAACACAGAGAGAAAGAGAGGAAGAAAGGAAAAAAAAGAAGAAGATTTTAACCCCGAATCATGGGGGGGGGACATTTCGCCACCTGAAAATTCGTGGTGGGGGGGGGGACGTGTCCCCCCGTCCCCCCCCCCCCCCCCCAGGATTGACGCCTATGCATGGTAGTGTCTTTTAGTAGGCCCTTCAAGCGTCCTCAAGGGCACCGCTTATGCGGTCACAGTATAATAGGCCTACTTTAAAGTAAATTATGCACAGTACCAACTCTTCAGGAATTAAACCAAATTGCAACCTTTGATGTGAATTTTGTATACAAAAAATCTACACCTGCGTCAAAAATCTTTTGTCTTTTTTTTTTGTCTTGCCACAAACAAAATCAGTCATGAATATGTTTGAGAGAGTTTCTGGGAATATATCAAATATTGAGGAGTAAAGGTGTTAGCCCATCATGCACTCTGGAAAATATTACAGCTCACTATAGGCAAGTCCTTACGAATCATCATACTCTGAGATCTTTTGGTTCGATGAAATCATGAACAATGATTTGATTCACAACGACCGGATATCTTACTCTATTTTGTTTGATGCAGGTATAAAATCATCCCGGGTAGTTCCAGATGGTCTGGTTTACACCGAAGTAGAGAGGACTCTGGTCAGAGGAGTGCAATCTGTTTTCACATGTCGCTTCGATGGAGTCCCATTGTCAGTCTACTGGAGAAAGGGCCCTAATCTTGACGATCTAAGACTCATGGTTGAATGGCATGATGGTGAAGTATCAGGTCCAAGATTCGATGATGGGAGTTGTGACGTGGACGCAAATTATTCCTTGATCATCAACAATGTTTCAACGGCAGATAGTGGAAGAATATACTGTACAGTTTCTAACAACAAGGGACCTCTGATGAACAACTACACTGACATTTCAGTTGTAGGTAGGTTATTTGGAAGAAAATCTAAAATTCATTTACACTTTTGATCAGTACTGATTACACAAACAACCCTATAACCTACTTAAAACCAATGTTAACAACATTGTTAATCTGAACAACTGAAAGTCTATTATTTTGAAGTATAGGTATCATGGCATTTCCTACAAAACATTTAATTGTTTCTAAACTTGTAGATTTCCCTTTTCCCAATAATATGTATCATTCCTGCTCCTCTTCTCCGACATATGTTTATTACACATATTCCTATACAAAGTTTTCCATCTCCCCTTTTCTTCTACAACATGTTTTCGATACAGCAACTCTTCCTATGAAAGAGCTTGATTTGCTACAAAACAATATGTTACAAAAACGTTTTGGTTTTTTTTAAAAATATATTTTAAACAAAACTATTAAACTTGAAATACATTTGATATTCTTTAACCCTACAGCCTACAAAATGCAGTTTGCTACAGTTTCAAAATATGCCCTCACCTTTTATATCTAATATTTTATAAAACGACATGAATATATCTCTAATTTTAGTTACGTTGTGGAATGTTTTCATGTAATAATAGCTAGCTGGACATCAAATAAACATACACTTGAAGCTCCTAAATGGCTGCGCCTTAATTATAGTTAGTTTCATGTTCTTTTATGTACTTTGGTAGCATTTGCTCTTTTTATGACGTGGCTATCATTGTTTTTTCTTCAGATACTGCAATCACAACAAATCCACAAGCCACTTTACAGCTGCGTCGGGCTACATTTGGTCTCCTGCAATGCACTGTTCACATCAAAGCCAGAAGAGTCTCTTGGAAGAAGGGAACTACCTCCTTGGCGGATGAAAGTCTGGTTGTAATGGAAAGCAACACAAATATTTCTGAAAGAAGTGGAGCTGGATACTACGACGGCACGTACAACATCACCGAAGAATACTCGCTGGTCATCAAGGAGTTACAGATCCATCACGAAGGTCTATATGTGTGTGAGGTGACCGATGATACTGGAATGTCCTTCAGGAATCACACATTTGTCAATTTGGTTGGTAAGTATTCATCATGTGCCGAATAGAATTTGCCCACACTAAAAGTAAAATGATGGGATCAATAAGGTTAAACCTTAAATGTGAAATGTTATTTGATTAATTTTTTATTTGTTCAGGGAAAAATCAATGTATTTTTATTCCCAGTGAGTTTGAAATATCTATCGTTATTATCATTATTTCGTATATGAACCATAGCTATTTAAAACTGACTAGTGTGACACCAGGGTGGTCCACAAAGACTAAGATCGACATTAAGTGGAACTTAACTATGTCAGGCCGTTCATGCCACGTTTTGCTCTCACTAGTTACTGACATTGGTCTTTCAAGTGACGTACAAATTATGGTCGCAAATATACAGAATTTTTTTTTTTTGATAATTCATTATTGAAGGAATTAAACAAAATTTAAAAATCATAATGGTGAGAGCAACCAGTGGCATGAATGACCTGCCATATTTAAGTCCAACTTTAAGTCGATCTTAGTGTTTGTGAAACAACCCCCAGTAGTGGGTTGTCAATATCAGCAATATGGGGCCTGCTATAGCACACGAATTCGGAATATGAATTTGACCACATGGACATAGGTAAGAGTCTTTGAGACCCCAAAGCTTCATGCTTGCTGCAAAGCGGCCTAGCTACGCCATATCGTAGGCGGTTCAGATGAAACCGGGGCTTTCTGGGAAGATTGCTGCCAGGAAGGTTAGAGGACCAAGATTAAGATATGGTTTAAGCCTGTCAGTGATAGCTGGCTCTGTAGCACCAGCTATAAAGCAAGCTAGGTTATCAATATATGGGCTTAGAGGCCCTGCACGGCAGCGCGGGGGCTCTTTTTCAAAAATAAATTTATGCGGCCAGTCGATAAAGTTATATGCAGTTGTTATCCCGACGGATCTGTGGAGTTTGAATGTTTGATATTTGTCTAAATTGTAGTTGTCCAAAAACTATTTAGCAACTGATGAGTGCATATTTCGTCGGATGAGCACAACTGTATATGTCCATGCATGTGTGTATGTGCATGTGTGTCAGAGAGGGATTTGGGTGTGTGGGGGCGGTACTACACACTGAAAAACCCAACTTTATAAGATGTTCTAAAGTACGTTCATTTATTATTTACTTTGTTGATTCCTTAGTTTATTAATTTGTAGAATTGACAGGAAATATTAAAGGTCAATTTGACAATCCATTGTTTGCTTGATTATATTTAAAATTTAGCCCAGCCTCTGGAACCATTTCCAACTATCCAGGAATGTCTAAATGTTGAACAGCACGACCCAAACTACTGCACCCTCGTCGCCAAATCAGGAATGACTCTTACATGCCAAGCGACGAAGTACTACCCCTCTATCGATCTAGTCTTTTTATATGGATCCAGAGTAGTTGAGCACTCAGATACAGGAGAATGGGATAACAAAGATGGAACGAAAAACAAAACCATAACCATCACTATTGCCACCAGGGGGAATAACAGAGGATCGTATAGATGTGTGGCTTCCAGTATTCCAGGAACTAATGCAACTGAATCCAGATCTGTCGTACTCCAAGGTGACGGACAAGTGAAATCAACTCTGGTTGTAATCTTTGTTTGTAAGTCATTTCAAATACTTGACATCCTGAATATTAATTCAAAGAAATCCTAGAAATAAGCAAAATGTAAATGTTATGTGTAATCATGAAACCATTGAGAGAAGCCAAATTTAGTAACCAGTAACCTTGCTACGGACCTGGTGGAACTATCTGGAAGATAACAGCGGCCCTAAGAAAGCTCACGAACATTACAGAAAGAAAGTGATGAATTCGACAAAATATCAAAATGGAATACCATATGTGTATTATGTAAATGCAAACTAAATAACTACGTACACATATAAACATTTTGTAAAACCTTTGAGCCATGACATCCCGTGAAAGTTTTGCTTATGAGTTATGTCTACAACAAAACAGCACCTTGAACATGTGAACATAAAACTGATATACACAGCTTCGTATTTTGTTTGTATCTCCTTTGTAATTTTACTTTAGGAAAGTTAACAGAACAAGACACTTATAGAAATCAGATTTTAATTAATTAGAACTTCATTATTAGATTTTAAAATGAATAAGCTTTTTGTTTATAGCACAGATTTATGACCATAAAAACATTTTGACATTTGAGCGCTTTATAGCATGCAAATCTGTTGTAATAATTATGTCTTTCTAAATGTTATCTTCTTCCTTTTTTTTCTTCCAGATTTTGTTTTTATAACATTCACCTTTTCAGTGGCCTATTTCATTTGGGATAAGAAACGTAAGTGATTCGGTAGCATGGTACATTTAATGGTGGAAGATGCAAGTAACTGAGAAATAAATAGGTCAAATTAAAGCCTTGGTGAAATACCATTCATTCACCTGACACATAAAGTTTTGTTTTCTCGTTTGCTTTATTGGTTTCAAACTTTGAGACTGATAGCTGATAACATTCGTGACATTTTGAAGGAAATTTCACCATTTTCATAAGTGATTTACTGTTAATCCTTTGAATAAAATAAGCTTAAGATGTTCAGACTATCTAGATGTAAAAGGCATGTTTATAACATTACAGTTTATAGCCCTATAAAGTAATCGGTAAATATGGCTTTTAATAAATAGCACTGTTTTAATATTTTTGAAAAGTTTTGATAAATAACAAAAAAAGCGTTTGATAAAAAGCACTGTAAAATGACAAAAAAGTATAGTATTTTATATCAATTAATGCGTGAAAATAATGTACTAATTTACAATTGACACGTATTGTTTCAGTCAGTTATTCTCTCGTCTTTAAGAAAAATGCTTCACTCCTGCAACTTTAAGATTATGTTACAAGAACTAAAAAAAGATCATGATTTATAATATGACTGTAAATTAACCCTGAGCTATGGTGAATGGATTTCATTTCGGAAGAAAATTGATTAAAAAATGTTAGATGCTATAGATAATAATAAAATAAATATTAATTGTTCGTTCATGGCAGCCGTATTCGGCGCACTGTGCATTCTTAGGAATACATTCTGCCAGGTACCCATCACACATATTATTACATTCGTGAGTTTTCAAGGTTTTGACGACGCTAACGTGGAAGAATGTATACACTAAGTAGACGAGGTGGGTAAGGTTTTAAAAGATATGGGGTCAAACATGTAGTACGGCAAAGACACATCGCAAAGATAGGATAACATAGTGTTACCTTGAAAGCTCTTATACACGTATCCAGTCAAATAGGTGAAGATGATTTAAATCCTGTTTTGTAATCGTGAATTATGGGTACTTTTGTAATTAATTTTTTCACCTACTTGAATGAATGTTGAAACCACATTTCACCCCAAGAAATAAAGTTTACACAAAGGAATATAATGGAAAAAACACTTACAAATGATTAAAGTCATTGAATATAAAACACCCCATTCTTTTTTAAGATCAAGCATCGTCTGAGAACCCTTGGAAATGTTGTCACTCTTACTTGCGAGAAGAAAAAGATGATGTATCAATATAGCGGGGGAAAACCCACATCCTTTCCTCTGTACCAATAATTTGTTGACGAAATAATACAACATGTGATTCCCATTTTTTCCAAATGATGTATCTATCTCAAATAGGTTCTGAGACACTTAGACAACGTTCGGATGAGGTATCGATGCAGCCCCACATAATGATAGGTGGCCCTATTGACAAGGAACTTGCTAATGACATAATTGGTGAAAACAGGACTTCTCTCTTCGATACTCACCAGATGCTTAAAGATTGGCAGCGGCATAGAATCACAATTACAAGAGTCAAACAAACGATCGACAAAGAAAAAGAGCCAGGTAATACTAAATACTTCTTCAGCAATTCACGGAGTGGAGGTAAAGAACACAAGAGTATGAACACATCTACTCCCGGTAAAAGAAGAAAGAGTTCTTTCCCGGGGGAAAAGAACTCTATGACCCTTCCTTGATTTTTACCATTCTCTGCAACTACCTGTTTTACGGTGAATCGCACCCTGGTCTGAAACTGTATACGTCGAATGCCTTAACCACTAGATTACGAAGGCGGGTTGAGTATTCGGCTCTACCAGATACAATCACTGACGGGCGGCCTAACGAATCTCGTAGCAATTAATTCATCCTTTTTCTTGGGATCGGGGAGTACTGAACCATGACAAGTCGTATACGATAGAAATTTCTGGTTTTATACTAAATAGCATCGGCAACTCCGATGGGGTAAATTTACATAATGTGACAAATCATTCATGTCAATACAGAAAAATAATTTGCTGAGCTTGAAATCGGTTTACCCTTGTAATTTTGTCCTGTTTTGACATTAATTGAAAAGGTCGCAAGTATTGTCTCCGCCCGGAATCGAACTCGAACCGTTCGATGTTGAAACAAAAGTCTCACCTTTTATCTTTTGTTTGGTAATACTGTTTATATTGTACTATAGATGATATCTGGCCTTATAACGATGAACTGAACACGATTTCACGTCATCTGACACAAGAATCAATGAAGAAAGTCTGCCAGAAACTAGAAATTGACTTCCAATGTGATGATGCTAATGACGAAGAGAAACGGTTAGAAACTCTACGTAAATGGAGAACCAACGCGTCAACTCAACCTATATGGGATAAATGGGAGCAGCTCTTTTCAGCCTTGGAATCAATCAACCTCGGAGGTATCTTCTTACCATGTGCATAGTTGTGTGTTAGCTCTTACAAATCTATAAACATGTACAACTGTATTATTCTCACTCCTTGTACAAATTTGATGTTTTTGTGTTGTTCGTAGCTGAAGATTGAAAGATGGTTGAACCAGGGCCTTCTTTGAATACTTTTATATGTAAGCTCATTAAAATAAATCGGGACAAATCAATTGTTCACATACTAACAAAACTATAAAACTTGATTAGGGTATTAATAATATTTGTTAACTGTATAAATGTTCATGGAGATTTGCATCCATGTGATCCCAATCTAAATACGAATTTCCTCACAAAACTTTAACCGGCTATGTCAATCTATTTGGGGTCACCACTAAACACAAGATTCCATCAACTTAGAAATTAATTTTTAATTTAATATGTAATCATTTTTAGTATTAAAAAAAGCAATGTGTGCATGACCGGTAATCCCCTGTACTAATTAACAAGGTTTTCTGTTTATAATCCCCAGGTTTGCTGCCAGTTTTAAAAGAACCATTCATCTACAAAGCTGAACTCGTTGATTTGGCTTTTCATCTGCTCATGCAGGGTTTTTTGTCCTGTCGCTAAAGAGCTGGGTATCAATGCAACTAAACTAGCATCATATCGACCCGTATTCATGCCATCACACCTTGGCATTGGTACCATCAAGTTACTCATGGAACTCAACGCATCCATTGAAGATACCATCCTGTCAATGGAAAAACGATCGGTCTTCTGTAGAAAAATAGCGAATGGCAAATCTGAACGTGTTTCTATTACAGGAATGTTTGGTAAGATTTTAATTACAGCGAAACTGAAATATATTTTATAATTTACAGTACAAAAAGTATGGTGAGGTTAATATTGTAGTGGAACCAGAGATAGACGTAGAACGAAAATTTTGATCGCCAATGTCCGGAACAGACAAAAGGCACCTAGCAGGCAAGTGGCTACATACTAGCTAGCAAGAATTGACATACACTTGAAAACATTCATTGCTGATAATGCTATTATTTATTAATACATTGTTCCACTATTAATTATCTGTTTTTCGCAAATCTTTTTATTGCATCGTTTAAGATAAATATTTTGTTCAATGTATACAAAAAAAAAACGTTTAGCACTTTTCTCCGCTTTGATTTTCAAGAGTACAACATGAGCTATGGGGAGTTGTGTTCCATCTCGGAAGCAATACATCAACACGCACAAGGACGTGTTGATCAAGGTAAGAATCTATCTGCTAAAGGATGAAGTTATTATGGAATATAGTTTGATGCATTCATGATCCAATAATTTTGGTCTGATCCGATGATACGGTTTTCCCGTCAGTTTTCATCAATTCACCATTTAAGCCCATATTAAGAGAAATTTAAGGTTTGTAACGAATATTCCAACTTGTTTTACTTTTATAATTGAGGAAATCAGCAAACTATCACGCAAGAAAAACAAAACGACAACAACCAACCAAAACTTTGAATAGTCGAATCCGTAATTATGTCACTGATTTCATACAGTGAAAATGCACTCAATAATAATGATGTATACAGAATTTGATCTTGTTGACTTTTTCTTTTAGAAATTACCTCTGGCATGCTTCCAGGTCCAGGGATACTTCGTATTCTTCAGGATGTGCTACGGCTGACAAATAAAGACATAGCTACCCGTTGTGATACCAAACGCCCATTAACAGCATTTGCGTTGTTGAAGATATGGAAAGAGAAGCCACGTCCGTCGGTTTTCAACTATCGTGCAGCTTTAGCTTATGAACTACGGAGAAACGAGATGCCTGATCTCGCAGATGAAGTAGCTGCAGGTCAGTCCATAAGAATTTGATATTTGTATATACCCTGTGAGTCAAAAAAAGTTTCCACCTAAAAAATTGCTAATTATTTTTAAAATCATCTATGAACAATAAATTATTATACACCTGGTGAAAGAGTGTTTTATCCCAAATTATTTGGTACCATTTGTGTGTGGTATGTGTTCACGCTTGGATAAACAGGTGGCATTGTTTGCGAGAGTGCAAAAATCGACTTGCGCCAAAGTGATGCCTTCAGTATGTATTATGTTGGGATTAGTGGAGTGAGAGAATGGATTGAATGTATCAAATGAAATGCATTGCATATGTTTTTTGAAAAGGGCAAAGTCACACACACGCGCACAAATGTTCCTTGATATTATATATTCTATGTTTGATATGTGTAGCATGATTAATTTTGTTAGGGGTGTTATTTGGATCTGCAAAGACCGAATTAATACCCAAATCCCAATTGTTTTATTAAACATCACAAAGGCAACTTTGGCGCAAGTCGATTTTTGCACACTCGCAACAATGCCTCCTGTTCACCCAAGCGTGAACACACACCACACAAAAATGATACTTAATGATTCGGGATAAAACACTCTTTCATAAGATGTATAATAATTTACTGTTCATAGATGATTTATAAAATAATTAGCAATTTTCTAGGTGTAAATTTTTTTTGACTCACTCTGTATATATGCTAGGGCTGTAGAGATACGGTTACAATTAAGAAAAGAAGAGAGTTACTTCCCTCTTAAGCCCCCATCACACCAAACTAGTTCTCACTACGTTCAGGAAAACGGGCTCAAACTGTGTGCGAACGGAGTTGGACGTACATGTAGTATCGACTGGTCAATACGATCTGTTTAAGAACTTCATAGACGGGCTCGGACCGGCTAGTGCGGAAGAGTCTCTAGAACTTTGAGCCTGTTTAAAATTTCCCCCGTCCCGCAGTTAGACAAAGTGACAACGTACTTAAAACGAGGAGGAAGTACTCCAAACGGACTGATTGCCGTACTATGAACGGAATTGCCGTCCTTCGATCCTACTATGGACGTGTTGCAACATGAAGTGGTAGAGCATCAATTAGCAGCAGCTAAGCCCCCATCATACCAAACTAGTTGTCTCTACGTTCCGGAACCGTCCTAGAAAATCGTACCAAAACTGGTAATAGTCGGGATAGAATGTGTAAATAATTTCTATAATACGAGCCTAGAAAGTTAATAAACAGTCCTCAATACGTCCATCCCGTCTATACCCCGCCCACAGTCAGTTTATATAAAGTTCAGATCAGGTAAATTTGCCATTTCCAAGCAGTCCAAATCCGTCCGTAATCAATTTAAACCAGTTCTTAACTAGTTCTACCTCGTTCCCAATACGTCCAAACCATTTTAACTAGTTCGTAACACGTTCCTAGTAGGACCGAAGTAGGGCAATTCCGTTCGTAGTTCGTCCATCTCGTTTAAGTACGTTGTCAGTCCGTCTAATTGCAGGACGGGGACAATTTTGAACAGGCTCAAAGTTTAAGAGCACCCTTACCGTCCAAGCCAGTCCGAGCCCGTCCATAAAATTCTTTAACAGATCGTAAACAGTTGCTTCTACGTTCACTCGGTTCGCACACAGTGTGAGCACGTTTGGCAACATTTTCCAAAACGAAGTAAGAACTAGTTTGATGTGATGGGGGCTTTACTTGTATGTTTTGATTTGCACAGCTTGAATCGTTGAAGTTGAACGGGAATAAGGAATGGCACGAACGCACTGTGGTTTTATATCCCTTGAGCCAGGACGTGATTCCACACACTCTAGGAGCGCGTTCGAACGCACTAAGAACGAGATGAGGACGAGCTAAACTGTCTCTGAACTTGTTAGAATGGGTTTGGTCGTATGGGGAACGAGGAAGAACTAGTCGATAACGGGTATGAACTGACTACGGACTTTTAATACTTGAACTGCCTGTAAATGGCAAATTTACCCGATCAGACCTTGATATGAACTGACTGTGGATGGGGTACAGACGAGATGGAAGTATTGGGGACTGTATATGAACGAACTAGGGTCGTATTGTAGACATTATTTTCAAATTCTACTCCGACCACAACCCGTTTTACGATTTTCTGGGACGGTTCCAAAACGTAATGAGAACTAGTTTGGTGTGATGGGAGGGGGGGGGGGGATTTAGGATTAAAGTCTGTGTCAAAATCAATGGTGGATCCAGAACTTTGTGATAGGGAAGGTTAAAGCGAGCACGTAATTATAATATATTTATGGTAATAATGAAAAAAATAATAATATAATGTTTTTGTGTAGCGATATTCAAATCAAAGTGAAATCTCAAAACAGAGAGCAAACAATAAAAATGAAAGAATTGTGTAAATTGAATACGTACATGTCGGTTTCACCTTCTATACGAACCAAACATGCTCGATTGTGACCTTTATTCGTATGTTACAGGCAAATACATGACAGAGAGGACAAGTCTCGTATTCATTGAAGACATGGTTCGGGGATTAAATCAAGATGAAATAAGAAGCCTTGGGGAGCTACTTCAGCTCAGTGGAACATCCTCCGATACGATCTCTAAAGACATTTGTGCCTGGGTTGCAGAATTGACAACGGAAAAGGAGATGTGTCGGAAATCCCGTCCCCGCAAACAACGTGTCAAAACAGGCGGGACGTTGTATGTCCCCGGTGGCGAATTGTTAGCACACATGGCGGAGTCACCCAAGGAGTCCCAACTCTCTGAGTATACTATGCCCCTTGAGCACAGGGATCTAAATGATAGGCTAGTAGAGCATGGTTTTCTAGATCTCGCGCGTGAGATTATGATCATAGAGCAACGATCGGTTGCAAGGTTGTTAACATAAATAGAGCAGACTTTTGTAAATAGAAATCCAACCAAGTTTTTCTTCGCATCGGAACAAAGTCGACAATTTGGTCTTTGGATTTGGCGTATCATTGGCAATTTTTTTTGGTGTGGACCTTCTGCTATTTCAACCCTCCCCTATCTAGCCCCCCCCCCCCCCAAGAGATAAAGGGAATAGTGCCCGCTATAGTAGGTTTTTTTTCATAGTTGCCTTTTGTGTGGTGATCGGTAGGAGGGGAGAGCGTTGTCGAAGATGTCGTAATGTACTCTCATAAGTATAGGCAATGTCAAAGGTCTCTACCTAGGTATTATAAATAGATCTTTGTAGACTCTTTGTTCATTTCGAATCTTCAGCTGGTATAAAGTACGTGGCTGGTAATTTAGAGGCTAGTGCATATTATATTTTGGTAAAAATGTTTAAGACCTCTTCCTCTCTATACCATCGACTATATACTGCATAAGATTAATCTGAGTGTAATATGTTAAGTTTCAAACAGCATGCTGGAAAAACATTAGAACCTTGTATGTATAAAATATATACATGTACAGTGCGTCCCAGAAAACACGAAACCGAGAATTATCGATGTTTTATCATAACTTAATCGCAATTCTAATTAATAAATGACACATATTTTTAAAGCGTAGATCCCCTTCTTTCATTTAATGCAACTCATGTGATGCATATTTCACGCACGAGTGATTAAAATCAATTTGAAGAGAGGAAACTAAAAAGTCATTTGGCGGAGGGTATCTGAATTTCAAAGGGAAAATCACATTTCCAGAAAGTTCAGTTTCTGCCCTTTCATATGATACCTTAATCAGGAAAAATGAGCAAGGAATAACAAAGTTCTGTTTGTTTAAAATGATAGTTGAGTTCTGTTTTCAGACCGCAAATACCTTCAAAGTGCATGGTTATTGCTCTTATTCTTATCTATTACATTTCTAGTGCCCTTTTAGAACCTGAAATTGCTATGAAGGTAATTTTAGACCCCAAAATGTGTAAAATTTAACCAATACGATTATACCAATTCAGCTCCACTTTTTTAAAAAAATACGGTGACCGTTAATTAATTATTAAATTA